CTGCTACCACTCACTGTCCACTTCCATATCTAGTTCTCTGAACCATTGAAAATTTCTCAAGGTTCACACTGGTTTGAGTTTTGCATATCGCTTTCAAACTTCTGTATGTATATAATTATATAAGAAAATAACGTTGGCAATGAGCAAAAGTCATACAGATCTTTAAAATGCAGAAGTTGGCAATATTGGACAAGGTGAAGCCCAACACAGAAAATATACGAGGCTTAAACTTAGCGAAGGTCATATTACCGTTCAAGTGATTAAACTGCCGTCGTAGCGTGAGCTACCAAGGGTAGGGCATGATCTGCTGTACTGGGCCTGGACTGACCGAAGCCTTGTATATATTGTATATACATAAGCACATATATATATTATAACACATAATAAGATGTAAACTGTAAGTATTATATAAATATTGACAACTGACTTGTTACTGCTGACTGTGACTCTGACAAGGGACAGACTGTCCTCACATCAGAGAAGGCCCCTCACACTGACAAAACTGTACCTGTCTAACAGTAATTGGTATCTGGTCATGAGCCCCACATGCTCGACATCATGACAGACTGACTGACTGACTGACTGACTGTCGGTTGCAACATGACTGTGACTGTGACTCCAGATCTACTCTGACACATGACAGGCTCATCCTCTCATCACGGAGGGGGCACAGCATCAACAAATCTGTAGCTGTCAATCAGTAATTATAACCAAGACAGACTGACTGAATGACGGACCATTGGTTATAACAAGACTTTGATTTTCCAGATCTACATAACAGCTTTCTAACTTCCATTAACACTGAAGATGGCAACTGCAATACTTGTGATAGAGACTGAAAAACTTTAACACTCTATGTGGCTCATTTTTGAAAGATGAAGACACACGTTAACTTTGGGCGTTGCAAATATGAACTCATGAATGTTATGCTTGATGTAATGTTGTTGTTATCTGACATGTCCAATTGTAATTTCTACAGCTATGGATGAAATAAATGAATTGAATTGAATTGAATCTTTTATGTGAAAAGAGTATAAGACAACATGACTCTGTGTTGGATGTTTGATCTTCAGAAGCATAATTTATTTAATACACACTTCTTTAAAATTAATTCCCAAAAATAACCTGAAATTAAGCCAGTCATATATATATACACGGCAGTGCCTCCATAAGAATATTTTTATTTAATTCTAATTTTATCTCAAGAGTATGATATTTATTGTACATGCAGAAAACTTATTATATTACACGATGAGCATTATATAAACATACTACAGAATTCTGTAAACAATTCTTAGTGTAAAAAGTAATTCATCATGAATAAGAGACACAGTATTCTGAAATAAAAGAGTTAAAATGTGGGTCAAAATTTCTAAAGAGAATGCTATAATTTTGTAATAAATATCATTATTGGTGCCTATCCCAAGCAAAGAGAAAGTTTTTGACATGCTGAATTACTGTGGCAAAAACTGTGTTACATAAAGCAAGAAATCTGCAAAATAAATACTAATTAGGTGCTCTGCAGTGCAAAATGTTTATGGGAAGTTAATAAATGAATCTTATAATGCATTACTTTAGCAATAATATTTTGATAACACTCCTTAATTTTATAACATTTTTAAAATAAACTTTTGCTTATAAGAGGAGTAACTGAAGGGGACCACAAATTCTAACCTAAAGTAGTGGGTATGTTCAGTTGGTTATAAATTTAGTAACATAAAATACAAATATGACATGAACAGAACAATTTCTTTTTTCAAAATATGTGGTTGAGTCAATTGTTAATCACATTTTTTGAGATAATAAAGATTAAGTTGAGATTTTGTGTCTGTATAACCATCATCACCACACAAAGAAAACTGCACTTTTTCCAAACAATAATTCCTCCAACTTACTATGAAAAGAAACTTCATTCTGTATGATGAGAAGCTGTCAGTACAAAAAAAAATCTGAAACATTTTGTAAAAGTGAAACTCTATGAAGTCTTGACTTAACAAGACACCAACATATATATAAAATACTGATAATGGTTAAAACTTTTTATCAAAAGGGATATTTTTTAAGAATGCTCTTCTTATAGGACAGACATTTACACATTTAAAACCTTAACATGTGCTTCAATTACTCCTCGAAATACAGCATGAAAATTGGTAACTATTGCGTTTTTAAAGGGAATAACAAATGACCAAGCATTATCATAAAACTACTGTGAAAATAAATAAATAACACACTTAAGAGACATCAATATTTAAGTATATAGAAAAAAGTGACTTATTACAAATGCAATAAGGAAAGTACTAGTTTTTGTTTAAAATACTGAATGTTGTGAGAGGTGGGATGAAATGGAAAGGTAAAGGCAACGTTAGAATGGGTCAAAAAATGGCAGCACTGGTAGGGCAGGGACAGGAAAGGAAGGGTTAGGAAAAGGATTAATGACAGGTTTGGGACAGGAGTCTGGGTATGACAGAGTAACAATGATAGACGCAGACAAAGGCCAGGGAAAAATTCAAGATGGCTACACTTGCCAAAAACAGGTTAAAACTGTCAAATTTCTTGAATTTGTGGTTTCAATGTTTTTTTTTTCTTTTTACAAATAAAAAATGACAATACAAAAAATTAACAAAAAACACACACAACACGTTACAAAGAACTTGGACTGACAAAACAGTGCAACGAACGACACACTAACACAGAGATGGTTCATTGATTGTTCAGAATTAAAACAAAGAACATGAAGACAAAGAAAGAGACAACAAAAATAGTAGTATTTTAAAGAAAAATAAGACTTATAATTCATATATAAATGGTTTACACACAATATGAGGCAATCACCAGTCTGGGCCACATGTGACTAATTCACATTTATAACTAGAGAAGAATGAAACTCTCCTTTGCAATATAAAAATGGAGCAAAAGTACAAATTGTTCTCAATCATAATTCCAAATTACTCAAGTCTGAAAAGTTTTATGTAAGTGGACATAAGAGGATGGGATAACTACTATGACTTTCATTTTGCCAAAATCAAATTGAAATCTTTACCGAAATAGTATTAAAAAGAATATTTATTCATGTCTTATTAATTTTCCACATGAATTAAAAGAAGTCATGTCCTGAAAACAATGTAGAAATGCTGAGAGAATGATTACAAATCAGTTACATCACTCAAGATGTCAGAATTAATCTGAATAGCCTTCATTAACCATTGAATCAGAGGGTAAACTTAACACAGTAGAAAACAAATCTGTCTTTGAATTATGTAAGTACCAGTAACAGAATAAAGAGGTTGTTTCCAATTTATGTGAATGTAAGTGATGATGTATTTTACTCTGAGAGTTCAGTTACAATACATTAAAATATGTATCAATGTTGTCCCCAGAGTCTGAAAACCTCTAACTTTGTAACTGTTTATTTACATGATTATGTATAATATATATGATTCAGTATGTAGTAAGATTATGTTAAGTCTTTTATAATTTGAACAAGACTGTAGTATGTGGTGGAAATTAATTAGACAATATAATATTAAATCTGAAGTTCTGAGAGGCTGAGTTATTATTTAATTTAAATATAAACAGTTTCTATAACAATATTCTCACTAACAACGTTACAAAGATCATAAATTTTTAGAAGGAATCTGTTCTTTACATTATGTAGAGAAAAGACAGAGAATGCCTGAAATGATATGATCCTAAATTTTATCTGCTGTCTAGCAGAATTTTTGCAAAATTTAGGCACTCTTATTGGGCAATTTTGACTTTCACATTAATTCATTTATAGTTTCATTAAAATAATATTGTATTTCTGCATAATGCACCCAGTGATATGCCTTATACTGTGTAGTTATTACGACAGAATTTCTAGTTTTGAAAAGAAGATAAATTTCTTTTTATATGATTAATTTTACTGAAAAATTGCCCAGATTCCAAGAAAGACGATTTTTAAAGAAATCAATAGAGCTGACTTAACAGCATTTATTAAATTTATTCTGTGTAATAAATAAACCACTGTATATACAAAGCCTATAAGACACACATTCAAGTATACTTTTAATTCAGTGGAGAATGTATGAAGAACTGTCAGCACTCTGTAATTCTTCTACATATTTTATAAAACACTTGTTGATCTAAGATTCCCAAAGTGGTGGCTATACTGAGTACTATCAGCTGTGTTTAACACTATGTAGACCAGTAGAAGTCCACAGATGATTCAGAGGAACATCAATGGACTTCTATCAAACTACACAGTGTTAGATCCCAGAATACAGTACTCTTCAGAAAACACTTTTCTCCGAGATGAAAATAATATGTAAAGATATGGAACTGCACTTCAGTAATAATTTTTACAGTACTCTTCAGAAAACACTTTTCTCCGAGATGAAAATAATATGTAAAGATATGGAACTGCAGTTCAGTAATAATTTTTGGATATGCTAATATAATTTCAGAAAAAAAAAATATAAAACATTATTTTGAGTTCATAATTTTGTACTACACAGGCATAAATTTTGAAAGTTCATGATAATTTCTACAAAGAAACGAAAAAAGTTTGATTTTAAGAACAAAAGACTTCCTTGAATGTGTGTAAGAGAAATAAGAATGAATGGATTAATAATTGCATTAAACCCAGAGCTGTTAAGAGAAGCAACAAAAGAAAGTAATCAGCTGTCCTTATAAGCTACTTCAGAAAATGTTTCCATCTTCCAAATAAGCTTAAGGACACATGTTTTCTTTCGGCTTCCTACCAGCAACCTGTGGTGATGCTTATCCATTCAACACCATGGACTCTCCATTAACAGGTTACCCATTTGGGTCTTTTGTACAGCAAACAAAAAGAAAACAAACAAAAAGACAGAGTTTTTATCAAGGATTTATGTGAATAGTATACTTTAATAGACAAAAATTAAAAATCATATAACTTTTTTTGTTAATTTTCTGAATATTTTTTGTATTTCTGACAGTAAATAAGTATTAACATGACATTATGTCTGGGGCCAACTTACCGCGGAGTAAACGAGTTCCAGAACTGACTACAATGCGGGGGAAGTAATGAGAAGAAGAGGACGTTACGAACCACGCAAGAAAGCAAAAAATTATGAATTACGAATTATGAGATACGTGAAAAATAAAATAAAACTCTTCCAGCATATGGTAGCACAAAGCATTCATGAAGAGAGTCTGCCAGGGGCAACAAAGTTACTGAAACCCAAATATGCTACCTTGAGATATTTTAACATAATTCACAGACATTAGTATGTGCTTGTGCTTCCTTGAAATTAAACCAGAGATATCATTTTATATTTTTTACTATATGTACATACATTTAGTACTGTAGCATGCGTTCATATAAAAATAAGCAAAAGTTTCATACCAAAAATGTGGTATGTTCTTGACAAAATTTATAATGATGTATTCAGAAAAGGTCTCAGAATATTTCTTAGCCTTTATTGTCTGAGAACAGAGGATTTAGATCTCCCTCTTATCATGACACTGGTGATTGGATTTTAACTTAGTGATAATGGAATTTACATTGTGAACAGCATAAAGCTAGGCTGGTTTGAGCCACGAATGCACCACAATAGTAGTGCGACACGCAGACAATAAAGGTTAATATAGTACATGTGTCAGATCTTACGTCAATCTGTATGTTGAGTGAATGATAAAATTTGTTTTGTGTTTATTATATATTTTACTTTCTTCATGAATACTTGACTAAGGCTGGTATTTTAACAAACAGAAGAATCACAAGAGGCACACTCACACACACATACACACACACACGTCACACATGTAAAAAGTATTGCAAAATAGCAACAGACACACAAATACACAAAACAGACATACACAAAAACACAGACTTTTTAAAAATTATAATGGTATAACTACATGACAGACACAAGTGTGATTTTCAGTAGATTTCTTGATAAGAAAATTAAAAGGAAGAATTCACAAACAAACAATGATTTGGACAAGTACACAAAAATTACTACACACATGTTCTATAGAGAGGCAGAATATGAGCTTTTCTATGTACAGAAATTTCCCGTTCTGTATATTCCAAATTTATTTCCCTTGGTGATTATGCACATTAAAGGAACACGCCAGAAGAGTAACAGAAATTATTTAGAATAAAATGGATTATAATAAAAAACTGTAACTTGTGTCTACCATATAAAGTTCTTATAACTATTCTGAAGTTATATATTTCTTTTCTACATCTTGCATTTGACATTACTTTGAAAGTTTAACTTTTTACTAGTTTTGTTCTGCATGAACTTTAATTTAAACTTCAACTTCTTTCATGTATTTCAAGTATCATTAACTGAAACCATTTTTTAAAGAAATATTTTTAACAGATAAAAGGAAGAAATATAAATGAAAATTCTATCAAAAGTTTTGCTTCCCTCTGAAAGAATAAAATCTTTTAAGTAACAAAAAGCCACAGAAAAAAAAAACAGAGTGAAACACAAAAGGCAATGCAATGAAATTATGAAATAATGTATTAGAAATTTCAGAACAGAACTGGGAAGTGGCTTTCTTTCTTAATTCACATTATGATATGCTTACTCAGCTTCACTGGCCTGCAGGATTTCACTAAAATCATTTAACTGATGTGAATCAATAACGAGAGAAAATTGCCGGAAAAAAAAAATAGTATGCAGATTGTCAAAAGTGAGGGTAACACGTTTTAAGGAAATAAGTTTACATTTTTGAAAAGAAGTATCACACCAACAATTTAAATTTTGACAAGAGCATTATGTTTGCAGTAAAAAAAATATATTCAGAACTGCATAAACTGTTCTATAATCAATATTTCATTATAACTATAGGAGTCTTAGGACTCCTAGACAAATGTAATTCGAGAGAAAAAGACATACACACTCAACATAAAAGTGAATCCTGCATAATGCCAGAATTACATGTGACTCAAGTTCAGCCTATAACACAATCCCGTATGCCATGTTTATACAATGGCCCTTACAGTTTCATATGGGAACAAAAAATTGAATAGCAAGTGTGATTGCTGAATTCATAACTGAATGAACTTATTTATGAACAATCTAATGAACAAGAGAAAAAACACACACACATGTTAAGGGTCAAACACTAGACAAAAGACACTTTGTTGAGGCTATGACCAGGTCCTGCTATTAACGAAAACCAAGTAATCTATACATGTATGTTTAGCAAAGTGCCCATCAGATGTCAAATTTGTTGATGTTTTATTCTGTCAACACTGAATATAAAATGATAGGAAACAATTCAAATTTTGTGATGTGACGATTTCATAAACTGCATGGTCTGACAGGCAGATTATTACAGTAATTTAATCTTGAAAATGAAACAAAGTGTAAATTTTCTGCATTTTGAAGTTATATTTAACACATGATGTTTGATATAACAGCAACGACTAACATCAAAAAGTACTCCAAATAATGAAGCATTCATAATGCACAGAATCCACACCATGACAAAGCATTCTTCATTCCACTATTGCTACGAGTGAACCTCAGCAAATGCAGCTTAGATAATGGACTTTCTGCCTGAATGGGTACCTTGCTCTACATAAATTAAACAAACATTCAGAATTATTTGAACAACTTCATAGATATAACAATCTAAGGATGAAAATGTTTAGAATTCATGTCAGTAATATAAACTTTCAAATATTAATATTTACCAAACAGTTTTATTACATGTACTTTAGAAATTTACTAACACTAAAATGTCTGATTAAAGGTCAAAATTATTTAGAGAGCTTGAGTTTCTTATTATTTACATATTCAAGAAATAATTACGTCAAGAACTACTTGCTGAACTGTGGGGGAGCATATTTATTTACTATATTTCTCTACCAAAGAAATTTCTAGCACTATGGCTTATGTCAGCCTAGTACAAAATTATATCATTCTAGAATTCAGCAACTGATAAAACAAAACAGAAATACAAATGTGTTCATATTTTGATTTGAATTCTCATCATAAAAAAGCCGCTGATTCTGTATATTTACTAATTCTATTGACTTTTGTATTACAGTCATATTATCATTTTAAGTGTTTGCTGGATTTTAGGTTCTTAGTGTTGATTATGAAGAGTATTTTCTTCTGGGACATGATTTCATACAGACTAGTAGATCATTGTTTGCAGGAATGTACTGCCTCAATCTTCAGGGTTGAAGAATAATCCAAGCAAGCAACCAGCAGCAGAGCTGTTTGCTTGGCTCACACCTTCACCCTGAATATGGGGGCAGTATGTTCCTGCAAAACGCTGGTAAATTTCTACTGGACTACATGACATAAAACTCCACATACAGTGCTCTTACTAATTTCCTGTGTTTGTGGAAGCTTTGAAATAAACACAAACAGAAGGAAGTGATTATTATAGTATAGTCATAAATGTATAGTAATCATTAAATTATGTAATATCTTCTGATGCATTTGTTTACTGATTGAAGTAAGGTTATCTTGTTTGTAGATCTCAGTATTCAATTATTGTTTTGTAATAGGAAATAATTCTGAATGTTTACTTTCATTTTGCATGTTCACTTTACTAATATTCCATCCTGAAAAATAAATGGGTCACACTGAATTTGCTATGTGTTTCAAACATTAGAAACACAGATTTGAGAATGTTTCTTGCCCTAAAATCACATCATATACAAAAGTATATATACCTAAATAACAATGTTATTTGAAACTTGCTTTCATCCAAAACTGAAGCCAAATTTTGAAACTCTAAAAGTATGCAAACATTCAAATGTTACATCATAAAATCAATTGTCAGAAGACAGTAAAGTATAGGTCATACTATCTCTAACTTTGGACATACATTGTTGTAGAATATACTTTAAGTTCAACACTTCATTACTCAATACCTGATCTGAAATAACTAATCAAACTGAAGTCACAGTTTACAAATTTTGAAAGACAAATTCAGATTTAGCATTTTCAGGACAAAATACAGTAAAGAGGATCTGACAGTTTTCAATATCAGGACCTGAAAATGAGGGGGTACAAAGGGGGAGGATTATTATGAAATATCGGTATTTTTCAATATAGTAGGGTGCTAGAAAGAAATTGTTTTAATTAAAAACAAAAAACAAAAAGCTACAGAATATTTAACAAAGTCAAAACAAAGCTAGTAAGTCACTGGAAGGCAGTTTATAGTTTCATTAAGAACTCAGAAAAAAATTGTGAGAAGGTGTAAATTAAAAACAAGTCTATAAATTGGCAAAGATGGAGTTGCAATTATGGAAGAGCTAATCTCGTTTCTATTTCATTTTATTTTCAAACCCAAAAATCATTTATTACTTTACTAAAAAGTGCAAGCCTGTATATTTTGACATTATTTAATTAATTCACTACCTTGCTTTTTGAAAATTAAAGTATTCTGTGGATGGTATTTCCAATCTAAATCCAAAAGTGTTGGATGATAGTGTGTAACAAACTATTATTTTGTATACTACCCATCATTTTTTAGTTTTTCCTTCTTTTTTTTGCAGGCATTAGATTCAACCTGCAATCATGCACAAGGGAGGAAAGTTCATACCCAATCCCTTGATTGAAATGAGCTCTTTCTGACAGGCCCAACTGAGTAAGATTCTTTCCTGCCTCACACCTGATGATGGAAACAGAGCCAGTTTCCAGAAAGTTGTATTTGAGGAAAAACTCATGATGATGGACAATGTCCAAGATAGTAGTGTGTGCAATAACAATTCTGGTTGCTTTAAAACACAACATATCTGTTTTCATTTGTCTTCATTTTCTAGATATCTCTGAATTTTGTGTTTTCTGACTGACTTTTAGCATGCCTTTAATATTCTGTATGTCACCACATAATAAATTTGGCTTAATTTTGGCATCAAGAATATACTCGTAATTATACAAAATTTTGATGACACCTTTTGTCTTACAATTTGTAACATATATAGTGCAAATATATTTTTAAATTGTAAATTGTTGATACGACAATTAGTTTTAAAATTTATGAACTTCTCTATAAAGAGCAAATACAAGGCTCATGACATTCCTGATGAATATAATGACTTCCACGGTTAAATGTCAGTGAAATTTCAACTGTGAACGCAATGAATAGCTATATTGTGTCATAACCCAAAAGACCACATCATGAATACCTAGCTTATGCCACACAAAACTATTGTTATAAACTTCCACTCCACCTTTACCAAAAATAATAAATTTCTCCATAAACCACCTTAAAATTTGCCTGTTATCAAAGAACAACCCAAAATAATAGAAAAATATAAAATAACAGAAAATAAATATGGTGAGACAGTATTTCTTGTATATATAAACAATAACATAACTGTAGCAGTTAACAAACCGATAAATATTAATCAAAGCTGTGTTCCTACCTTTCGCTGTATTCATCCATGTGGGCATAACTCTGAACGCTCTTCTCTTCTATGAGGAACTTAACTCTCTGATAGAAGGATGCTGTAACAGAAGGCGGTTGTTTCCGAAGTAGGACCTCAACAGGATCGTTGGATGCAAGACACATTATGTGATCATTGCATGATGGATGTGAACAGCATTCGCTGTCTGAACAATCAATCATGCCATCTGTTGAGAAAGCACACATATAACTAACTTAATACTATCTTAAGGAAGTGTCATGAATAGAAACAATGACATATTTACTATGTTAGAAATGTAAATATCAAATTACAATATTTGCCAATGAGCGCAATGGGAAGTAGGGGTCGTGTCAACTCTGTTGTGAATTGTGTAATTGTGAGAGTGAGTGTTCAATAAATTCACTATATCAAATAAGGCGTGAAATTATTTGTCACATTATACACCCAACACGTAACACTACCATTTAAAAGACTGATATGTTTCAAGTATCACACAATTAACTGAACTCAAAAAATAATCCATTGTCTGGAAATACCCAGTATGCATGCCGCATTCACCCCCAAATAGTCACTTAATATAAATATATCAATTTTGGGGTTTAGCGACACACAGAATGATCACAAGTAAAGTTACTAGTTGTGCTACTGGGCACTAAACAATGAGACAAATTTCTTTCTGATGGAAGAAAGCAACCCTTCTTTAGCTGTGGCAAACAGCAGTAGAGTAATAAAACAGATAATTGCAGTAAGGTGAGAAGATGTACAGCCTACTGTAAATCACTGTATGACATCACTGATACATGGGTATATGGCTAAAAAAAAATGTAATGGGAAATTCCTAAATCATTACAGGAAGCTACAATCAAACTATAACTGATTTTTCTGAAAATCCCATGGTTAATCTGAACATGGATAATTAAGATCTATCATAATTCAAACCTACAATTTCCATTATTTTTGCTGCCTACGGAATCATGTAATTTTGTACACTTGTTATCAACATTCCTGAGGAATCTGCCACTTTCTGAATGTTGTAAACCGCATACCTGACAACCCGACTTCATAACCAAAAAGACAACACTCTAAATTCCTACTACCATAAAAACTTCAAATATTGTATTGTATTGTATTGTATTGTGACGTGTTGTGCTATGCAGGACACCCCATCCCCCACAAGCAGTGATGTAACACCTTCCGAGCATTGCCGCTGCTACAGTAATAGGTCAGTCAACACCCCACCCCCTCCCGTGGTGACGTGACCAAGGGATGACGCTGTTGCTATGCAGCAGTAAACAACTCCCGACAGCGTTGCTAGGCTATCGGCAAACACGGTGTCAGGCAACAGTGGTACCTATCATGTAACTGTTTTCTGTCTTGTCCGTGCCGAGGCTAAATACGGAGCAGCGAACACTATTTAACAGTTAGTTACAAGTTAGTCGGCAGTGAGCAGTTAGAAGTGAGTGAATGATCAGCAGCCGCCGAAGATAGTTGAAATGTAGCCGCCCCCGGAGACATTCGAATAGGAACCGTCGCTGAGTTCAGTTGTAGCAGAAAGAATACCGGAACATGTAATTAGAAGTGATAGTGTGAGAAGCAGATGCTTGGCTCACAAGAGAAGTAATTGGGAGTGTGTAATACAGTGACACTGGTATAGCTCCCGTTTCGTACTGTGAATACATGTAGACTACTGAAGATAGAGTGAATAGAATACTGTGTAGGGTTTGTAAAGTGTGTAAACCCGTAACAGTGTTATAATTAATTGTAGCCAAAACTTGTAGGTTGTTAAATAAACCAATTATCAATCCAAACGGTGTCTTCAGTAGCAAAACACGTTACAGTATTGTATTTTATTTCATCCATTTTGCTACATAGTAACATTTGGACATGTCATTCGGTAATACAAGTTAACAAAATAAATCTACAAAGTTACAAGCATACTACCAAAATTCGCTACAATCACAAACAATATATAAATACAACATTGCAAAAAATATACAAACTACTATATACAGCACATCAATGGCTATGACATCCAAACATAAGTACGTGCACCATCCACTCTTTTATTAAAACTAAAAAATTCATTTATCGTATAAAAAGGATGTTTCAATAAAAATGATTTTAAGTCATTTTTAAAAGCTGAAAAACCCACTGAGTTTCTTATTTTTTTGGCACCTTACTATACAATTCTATCTCCATATTTACCACACTTTTTTTAAATAATGTAGTTCTGCAGAACTGAACATGAAAATCCTTGTTTATTCTTGTATTATTATTATGAATATTTATATTTTGGATCAAATCTGCTTTGTGCTTTTATATGTAACATAAGACCTCTAAGATATACAAAGATGTGTACTCTAATACTTGAAGATTACTGTCATCTGGGATGAGTAGCTATGTAGCTAGGTAAATCCCAATGTTCTGGAAGAACTTTCCGCTTCTGTCTTAGTATGGAGGGCACAGGCCCCTCCAAAACAGTGCAGAATATCAGCCAGACTATACGGTGTCTCATTCCAGAAGCTATCAATCTTCATATCTGTCAGTCTAAATATCTTTGAGTGTTCATGATCATCAGATACTGACATACATCATTAAATAATGATGTATGTCACTAGATCCTATTTTCAACATTCAATGGGAGCTAATATCCCAGTACCAGAAGTACCATCATAAACACTGGCATTTTGTCCATAAAGCTGCTTACTCAAACTATAATTTATCTTCCAAAGATGTTTAAACGGAACACAGTGACATCCTCCAGAAACTAAAATGTCTCCAATTCTCACCTTCATCATTGTCAATTTCATCATTGCATTCCATCTCGAGGCGAATACTGCAGTCCAGACCAGCCCAACCATCTGAACACACACAGTGATATTCCCCATCCTCCAGCGCACAGGTACCATGCCGGTTACACGCACTCTTACATCCGGCTGTCAACACGCAACAGTCATAGGATAATGCTATTGAATGGGTTGTGTATCTAGCTCTGCAGTGCCAGAACAAGTCAGTATAGCAATGTAATGCGGCACAGGCCGTCAATTTCAAAAACCTCCCTGTTCTTCCCAGTTGACTGACTAAATAAATGAAATATTTTTACATACTCTACAATGCTATCTCATTCATGAAAAGAAATGTAGTGTCCATTTGTAACTGTGACTGCATATTTAACAAAATATGACTCTTAACTTTACTCATACATCTGAGAAAATGATATTGCTGACAGAAAAACGTGATTCAAGCAAGAATAATATCAGGATTGAAATTTTATGCCATGTTTCACCAGCCTTTAAAGTAAAATTCACATTCGCTATGTCTTTTACTTACGTAAGGTGCAATGTTTGCCATTCCAGCCTTGAGAACACACACATGTTCCATTCTTGCACTGGCCATGTTCTGAGCACCTAGGATCACATGGGAGCAGGTCACAGCGGTCACCAGTCCATCCTTTGTGGCACTCACATCTCCCCTTGTCACAATGTCCATGAGGCCCACAATCCAAGCTGCATAAGGCTGAAGTTTGAAATACAAGTGCATTTTATTCATAGAAAAATTATTTGGAAACTTAAATTAAACCCAGGGAATTGCTGCTGACATGATCTTAAAGCTGAACAATGACAGTTAGGGCCACAGTAAAACTGTTTGTCACTTCAAGCTTACACAGCAACTGTGTACAATGGACTCTCATTGGGCTGTCAGTGCTGTAAAGTTGAAGTTCATGTCCATTTCATAAGCTGTGCCTGTTTGTTGATGTGGCGAGAGCTGTGGCCATGTGTTACATCTATACTGTCATGTGACTGAGCGACTATAGACAGGGTTCAGATTGGGAATTGGATTTATTGAACACTTACAGATGGTAACTAGAAGTAACTATAACAAAATCACTGATTCACACACACACTACAATTAAATACAGCATGCACTAAGTCTTCTCAGTCTGTTGTATCTTCACCATTTGTCACCTGGTAACGGTTTCAAATGCTGTAGCTTCCTCAGCCTCTGTGTTCATGCCCTTACTGGCTCATGACTGTCTCACAACTAACTCCTGCTCTTCTCACAGCGGTTTCAAGATTCTTTTAATCGCAGCTGCTCCTCTTTATATAGCCTCGGCATGGATCACATAGAAAACACATCTCCCAACAGTTCTTCTACTGTCGCACCATGTAGATATTGCACAGACCACATAGAGAACATTGCTTTCCAGCTACTCCATTGTTACGTGTTAGTAATCTGTTGCCCAGTAATGAGTGTGTTGCAGAGCCGATTCCTAGCAACAGCTGTCTCTGCTGGCTACACAGCTCTTGCCTTGAGCAAATATACCACAATATTCTTGGCTTTCCCAGTACAGACCACTGGGATAGTCAAGATGATAATTTGTAAGTATTAACACAATTCCAGTGGATATGAAAATAGTCTCTGAAACATAGGACACTAATTCCACAGGACTGATCACATCAGAAGACTTCACTCAATAATAAAGGTAATTAATATTATCATGTGTTTAGTAACTAGAATTGAGGCTTGTATTGGTAACTGGATTTATTGGACACTTAAGTTTGTCAACTACAAATAACAACGACAGTCTTACTGAACTACGCACTCCAAAGATCCCTGTAACTACAGCACACAGAAAGCCTTCTCAGCCTTCACTAGCCATTGCTTTGTAGTGGCTTCCAATGGCGGACATTCCCCTTCCTCTGGGTTCCCAAACTGTTCCCAGCTTCAGCTACCAGCTTCTCACGTCTCACAATTGCAACTCCCAACTAACAGCTAAAGTCATATTCAAAGTCAAGTTCACTTCATGACTGGTGGTTTACCGCTAATTATTTCATCCGAGTGTCAAGCCTCTTGAGATCCATGACCAGAGATTTCTTTTTCAGCTGAACCCTTGTGGTAATAGTATTTATGTAACATCCTCTCTGACTACTAGTCCTTGTTATGCAGTCGCAACATAGACTGCACAGAAAACGTCTCTTCCATTGTTGCATGTTCTTTCATTGCCAAGGAAACGTGTCCACAGAGCTGTTCTTTAGTAACGGTTGTTGTACTGTTGCCTGTTTACATTTCTGTTATTTGGCAATGGGTCTACATGTCACAGTATTTAAAGTCCATGTATAAAGAGATTTAAATTACCGGCTTCTAATGGCACTTAGACTCATAAAATGTAATTCTTGGTGTGCTGGCACACATGCATGTGTTGTCAAAATATTGTGATGCACAGCCAATATGGGTTAACCTATAGCATATAAATGAACCAAGTTTAAATTTCTACAAAATGTCTGAACACCATACTCACCCCACACAACAGAATGTCCCTAGGGACCAGCAACATAAGATTTAGCAGCATCAGAGGAAATAGTCACAAACGGTTACAAGTGTTCATGCCAATTATGCTACCTGACAGTTTGAAGTTACTTCAAGCCAGTGCCAATTTTGTCAAGTAATGGAAAACTGACAGTGTGTATGTAAATATAATTGTCTTTCATAGATGTCACTCAAATGCAGAGAAGCTTTAGATATAACTTGCTAAAGCTTGAAAGACTTGAAAACATACAGCTGCTAACTGCTTTTCACTTGTTCTTCTCTTCCATTTACATCTAAGATGTACTCACATCAAAATACAATTTTTGTAGAGTAATGGCTACCCCAGCAAGTAAAATCCTAGCACAAGGGGCATAGATTCAAACCTGACTATTTCCACATCTCATGGAACTTGTTTCTGTATAGATCTATGGAAATGAAATAAATGAATGAATGAATGAGTAATGTATGTGTTAAATGTTCTGTAGTCTATAAGAGAGGCATACATACCCTGTGAACAATCTGGACCAGCCCAATAATTATCACAGACACATGCTCCGGTCTCCAGATCATAACTGCCATGCTCTGAGCATCCAGGTAAGCACTGGTACACCTGTTGATCCACAGCACTGCAGTTCGTACCCTGCCACCCTGCTTTGCAGTAACACTTGCCACCAACACAGGAGCCATGGCCTGAACAGTTGGGGTCAGGGCAATCCACTGTAAACAAACAGTGTATGCAATATGTCACCTGAGTATTGTCCATCAACACCAATTTTCAGGAAACTGGCTTTGAGGTTAGAGAATCAACTGGAGTTTAAATGTCATTTAGAACAAAACACATTCTGAAATCTCACAGATGTAAGTAAGGTGAATCTATGGAAAAGTGTGGAGTGGAACAGAATACAGAGAATCAGAAAATTTTGTCATGTTTAGGTACATGCTTTCTACAGCAAAGACAATTTATAATTAATACGTATGTAAAAATATCTTTCGTTAGCCATGCCAAAAAAAGAAAATAGCTACAGTCTCTTCACATCTGTTATATAGTATTAAATGAGAGGATATTTGTGGAAGATTAATTAAATAGGATATGAAAGAGGTGGTTGTGGTATATTTAAAGCATCATCCAGCACTGGCCTGAAGACACCCAGGAAAATAGAGAACCATCCTTCAGGATAACAGACTTCTAGGTTAAGAATGATACACAAAAAGGAAACAAGAGCATTAACTATTCAACCAATCTTATATGTATTAAAATGTAGGTCAATAATTCCTTAGGATAAATTAATCATCCAGTTCAAATATTATTAGGAATACATATGGATAAGGTATGTACAGTGCAACCCCCATTTAATATTCCTCAATTAAAGGTTTCCCTGTGTTTAACATTCAATTTCAAAGACCCAAATTCAATAAATTCACTGTTAAATTACGCCAATTTAAGATTTTCCTCGCACTTTTGTTGAGTAGAGCTCTAATCTACTACCTCTGGATTCAAGTTTGGTATAACTGTCATTTCCTGCCTAGCTATGTTATTAATGATCCTAAAATCAGCCATATTGCTTATAGTTTTACATTTTCATAGATATGGTTAGTAGCTATTTATTAAATTTGGATGACATTTCTGATGTCACTGTAACATGTTTTCAGAGGGTTGACATTAAATATGGGTACCAAATTTATGTTTATATGGAACCACATAGTTTCATACTTGAAATCCATTAATTATTCTGCAGTGAATGTGGATCTTTTAATGTTAGATAAGCTATACAGTTTTCAATATGCATGTGTGGCACAGTAACCCCCTTCCAGCCCCCCATAGCTGCCAAATAAACCGCTTTAATACATGTAGACTGCAGTAGCCATTAACAGATTTAGTCTGTAGAAGATTTTCAGGCTTTGACAGAAGTTCAATGCTGATGGCTACTCAGTTACTTTATTACTTTATGTGGAAATCTAAACATCTATATCTATAACACCATCCATCAACAACATATGATCCATTTATATCAGGGATGGAATTGACTTTTCAGAACTGGATAGATGTTCCAGATCACATCAGAAGAGTCCCCAGAACGACCAAAATGTATTAAAAAAGGGAATTATTACTTACAATGCAGGATTAGGAATTCATTCCTACATGTTTCGCTGTTACAGCCTAAAGTATTGTAAACAGCTTCATGAAAAAAGAAGGGACTCTGGAACTATGTACATGGTCTCTGGCCACATATACCCCCTTTTACAGCCCTGAAAGATATTAAATTTTCCAATAACATATTAGAGGTTTTCATACAGCACTGAATTTTAGATCATGGTCCATTGCTGTCTAAATAAACAGTTTATAATCTAGAAGACTACAGCCTATTTTTTATCAAAACAGGCATTATTCTTTTCAACATTTGTAACTGAAATGGGAGCAGAACTAAAGCTATTGAAGACAGGAAACAGCAACAATAATATTACCATATTAACAGCCAACTGGATTAGACACAGGTGGCTTTTGAGGTATATTAGAGCACTTACGTGCCATTAGGTTTTGTGGGCAAAAGCTCTGCATGGATTTTTTTATTTCTCCCACACATTTTTGTCCTCTTCAATTTTATAATCAAAACAAAAGTTAAAAATGTTTCAAACAAAAGGTTCAGAGCTTAAGACAAAAAACTTCCCACTGTGTCCTTTTATAACATGAGGAGCCAATGCTGGGAAATTTGGTAAATGTTATTTGAGCATAAATGACTCAGAAGTGTGTCTCACTGTTGCGCTTACATCTGAAAAGCATCTACTCAGAGTCATTAATTTTTGGTCAATACATATTTCTGCTAATTCTGTTGTAACATCAGAATATGTAAAAAGTAAAAAAAGTAAAGGTATCCCTGCAACAGGCCGTGAAGGCCCACAGGGTTGTGAGATGTAGGGGCTCCCACATTATCTAGACAATCGTCTCACAGATGGCTGTAAGGTTGTCAGCCGTACGCGCTAGCCGCCCTTTACCCCCAAGAATATTCCTGGTACTCATTTCTGTTAGAGGCTGAGTTTACCCCAGGGCCATAGTGCAGCTGGAAGGATTAGGTCAATTGAAAAAAAGTCCAGTGACCTCATCGTGACTTGAACCCATGACCTTCCGGCTTGTAACATAGTGCCTCAACCATCTACACTACCACGTGCCCCGATCTGGATATGTATTTTTTTTTTATTGTTAGTGGGGTGGGACTAAGTCCCTTGTACTGCAGCCACTTCTGGCCTATTGTACCAGCCCCGGATGATAGGTGAGGGTGACTGTGGAGCAATTGGTGCAATGAAGATTGGCAGGGGAAACCAAAGTACTCAGAGAAAACCTGCCCCAGCGCCACTTTGTCAACCACAAATCCTACCTGACCAGACCTAGGATCGAATCTGAGCCACCACGGTGGGAAGCCAGCGACTAACCGCTTGAGCTATGGCGCGGCCATCTGGATGTGTAACACTTCTATTACATGTAGGAAGGTCTCCTGAACAATGTGCTAGAAACCTTCCAGTTTAACACATCATCATAGAAAGAGTAGGATTGGTACTAAACCATCCAACTCCTTAACACATTGTAAGATCATCGAAGTCTACTTGAAACACTTTTCCACCAAGAAAACTACCTACTTTATTCCCCTCTTGCCATTATTACTCTATGTATAATTCATTCGTGCACCAGGAAGTTTTTAATTTGAGTGATGGGCCTGCTTCCCTGCATGCATAAGTCAGTGGGCAGATTACATTTTTATCTTCTGTACAAAATATGCTCTTTCCACTGAAATGTGTATTTTAGCAGGTAGCATAATTTATATATGAACTCCAGATTTCTACTACAGTGGCGTTCAGAAGTCATCTTGTTCTCTGCAGCTTCAGTTTTCTGTGTCATATCTGGCTATTCCAATAGATGGCATGGCTAAACCATGCAGGTTTCGTTTTTGGCGGTTAAGATATCATGTGTAAAATATGTCTTGTTCAAGTCAAGGGGGATTAGGTGGGCAGGTCATGTAGCACGAATGGGGGAGACGAGGAATGCATATAGGATATTGGTGGGAAAGCCAGAAGGAAAGAGACCACTGGAAAGACCAAGGTGTAGGTGGGTAGACAATATTAGAATGGATCTTAGAGAGATAGGATGGGATGGTATGGATTGGACAGATCTGGCTCAGGATAGGGACCAGTGGAGGGCTCTTGTGAACATGGTGATGAACCTTCGGGTTCCATAAATGGCTGGGAAATCCTTGAGTAGCTGCAGAATTGGCGGCTCCTCAAGAAGGGCTCAGCTCCATGAGTAAGTAGGTAAGTAAGTAATATATGTCTTGTTACTATGATCAGTATTATAAAAATGATTGCAAACATACCTCACATTATCACAGCCAATAAGTAAGACAGTTTTTATTCATTCAAGAGCAATTTCAATTATTGTTTTATATTCAAGTAAATTAAAGAGATTTCTATGGACTTTGTGATACACAGACTCATGGGCACTGGCAGGGAAGGAGATGTCAGGTTCACCTCTGGATTTTTTTAAAATATCAAAATCGAAAAATGAAAGGCAATATACTAAACATGAAAACTACCTTGGAGTAAATGCAACTGTACAGAAAAACCAAGAGTAATTTCCTAGAATGACCTTCAAACAACAACAGGCATATGAGTACTACATATGAAAGCCTGTTCTTTCCTCTAAATATCTTTTTGTTACACTTTGATGCCCTGTATGGAGAGAAATATTGTACTGATTGAATAATAATGAGCTGATCTCTTTGCATGTGGAGGTTTCAACAGAAAGTACCCCAAACCAAATGTTACTATATGGCGTGCAGAGGGTTAATATGTGATCATAGAAAACCAACTTAGATGACATATATGCTCAGTATTCAATCTCAACCATAATTTCTCAGTTTTATTGCTCATTTTTATGCATTAGTCAATTAATTAAACGCTGAAAATAATAATAAATGAAATAATTACTGAACTGGGCCAATAAACTGACCAACAATAACAACACTTACAATTATATGTGCAGAATGAACAGGTATTTACACTGACCTTGCTCACAAATTGTGCCTTTCCAGCCTGGCTGACAGATGCATACGCCAGCAAGGCACTGTCCGTGTCCAGAACAGTCAGGGACTTGACAGTCGTGTTCAGGGATATCGCACTCAGGGCCTTTCCACCCTTCCTCACAATGGCATAGACCACCCCCATACTTTCCATGGTTTGAGCAGAGAACAGGACAAACACCTGTGCCAACCAGAAACATAACCTGTACAAGTAGTTCTGAGTACACCTCATGAAGCCTTCCTTCCTGCCTTATAGACTTATAGTCTACAGATCTATTATTATTGTTCTTGTTACATTATTTCACTTTTATGCTGAACTTATATAGTACTATGTGGGACATGTAAGCGGCCTCCGTAGTCTAGGGGTAACGTTCCCACCTCATGACTCAAGTTACGCGGGTTCAAACCCGGCGGAGGTCGTGGAATTTTTATGGGCGGAAAAATTCAGGGAACAAGTCCTCCAGGACGGACTTTAAGCCGTGTGACCCGTGTCGTAGATTTACGGCACGTAAAAGAACCTCATGTCTCTAGGAGACCTCTGAGCTAAATTACAGGCCCTTTCCCGCCCAAGTAGTCTCCAATGCCTCTGGTGGATGGGGGAAGCATCAAGGTACCGGGGGCCGACCTTGTTGGCTCTACGGGGGCTGATGGCACGCACCGTTAACGTTAGGGTATGGCGACAGTAGAAATTAAAAGGGGGACGCACAATGGACCAATAATTGGTCTAAGTGCATGGGGAAACCCACCCCCTCTCATAATACATATATACATACATGTGGGACATGTAGGAGATAATCTCAGAGAAGTGCATCATCGCCATGTATTTTAGTAAAGTAAAGTAAGTAAAGTAAAGCTATCCCTGTAACAGGCCTTGAAGACCCATAGGGTTGTGAGACATCGAGGCTCCCACATTATTTAGACAATCGGCTCAAAGATGGCGGTAAGGTTGTCAGCCTTACATGCCAGCCATGCTTTACTATCCAGGAAAATTATTTAATTAATTTCTGAAACTCATTTCTGTTAGAGGCTGAGTCGACCCTAGGGCCATAATGCAGCTGGAAGGATTAGGTCAATTGAAAAAATCCAATGACCTCATCGGGACTTGAATCCATGACCTTCCGGCTTGTAGCATAGTGCGCAGACTTATAATCGGTATGGATGAGGCACTAGGCTACAAGCCAGAAGGTCACAGGATTGAATGCCGATGAGGTGGATTTTTTCAATTTACCTAATCCTTCCAGCCGCACTATGGCCTTGGGGTTTGACTCAGTCTCTAACAGAAAGAGTACCAGGAATCTTCCTGGGGGTAAAGGGCGGCCAGCCCGTAAGGCTAACAACCTTACCGCCATTTGTGAGCCGATTGTCTAGAAACTGTGGGAGCCTCAACATCTCACACCACTATGGGAATTCACAGCCTGTTACAGGGATGCCCTTACTTACTTTTTACTTTACTTCATACATAAAGTGTAGGCATGTTTATGAAATATATCCATGTCAAATTTCTCATGCCTAGCTTCAATGTTTCAATAGAAACCATCATGAAACTGAAAGTTAGAAGAAAATATCTGCAGGGATACCAATTTCTTATTTTAAATTCTACAGAATTAATACAAAAGTTGCACATATCTCAATGATCTTGGGTCACATTAAAATCAGTCAATGGTTCAAAAAGTTAAAAACAGGCAGACAGAAACAAATTTGGTAGAAATGCTCCCAATGCCTGAAGAAACCTCCTGCCTCTATCTTTAGAGTTGAGCAGCAATTGCGCAGAAAAATATGATAATCATCATTCCTCACTTCTGCTCCTCCTCCTCGATTCCTGTCTCTGAGATCAGATTTACAGAACAGCCCTCCTCAGGGCTGCAGTCTCCTGCTGTCTCATTGAAAGTGCTGATTCTTTACCTCCCTTTCCTATATCATGCACCATATTTTCCCATGTGACTTACCCTTCTATTCAGTCAGCAGGCTGGCAACCACCTACCAAATTACATGGCTTCACATCACAAAAGCCTGCAATCTTCATAAGTGTAACTAATTTATTTTCTGCCACTAGCAGTGAAAGGATTAAAGGCAGGAGGCCAAACAGAATTTAATTATGAACACTTTTGATGCTATGGAACTAGATCCCCAGTGCTGATCAAAAGCTGGGTGGATATCCAATGTCTGCTACAGACTCACTTGTTTTCTTTCTTTCAATAACAATGGGGAGAAGTCTGGAAGAGATTTCACCCCCTTAAACCCCATTAAAGCACAGTGGTTACTATACATAACACCTCTTTTAACATTAACCCTTTAAAGACTGAATTTCGTCTAAATATATAAAACACATTATTTCTCTGCTACAAATATCAACCAGTTAATATTGTTTATGAAAAAATCGCTGCATATTGTGAGGACCACATGAAACCCACAAATGCACACTGTGGGCAGAATTCAAAGTTTTAGTATGTTAAAGCAAGTGGTACATATAGTAACCACTAGGCTTTAAAAGATTAAAAACCTATTAATTTTTCCCACAGAGTGTATTTGTGGTATAATTCTCAGAATGAATAGTGACTGTTTCCCTAAACAGCTTTGTAATGGAGACACAGTGTGTTCTCTGTGGAAGAGGAACTGAATTCTTTAGTATTATTTACAAGTAATTTGTACTTGAAGCTACATAACATAAGGCTTACTCTTCAGTAGAAAACCTGGACTGACAGATGTATATGTGCATGCATGTGTGTGAGTGAGAAAACAAAATTATTAAGTGTTACTTTTTGTTTGTGCTTTCAATTAAAAATGAAGGGGTTGCCGCCATACAAACAAACATTTTTCATTTATTAATTCATAACATATTTCAACTGCGCCCCAAGTAGGGTTAGACACCAAGACAGAGACACACTGACTGATCATCAGCTACGATGAGGCTTGAATTCGTTCAAGTTTAAAGCCATTGTTCAGTTACAGGCTCCTAAGTTACTACCAGCATGACAGTAATACTGGTCTTTAATTACTAAAAATACTATGTAATGAATGAGATAGGAGAGTAGATGTACATCATCAATCCTATGGAAAATTCCATCCCAGGTCTAATGATGACAGTAAGGCTAGAATGCCGTATATTGTGTAAGTACATTTCAACATGGAACAGCATGCTGTTAGAAGTTCTCATCTGCTGCAATAGGAAGTTGGCCCATATCATTCAATATACTATATCATTTAACTGCGGCGATACTGCTGTTTATCATCAGGGAATTATCTGAAAGCATATGATTTCATACTTACTCTTAGAACAGTCGACCCCTTCGTACCCGTCGATGCAGTCACACTTGCCGAGGTAGCATGAGCCATGTCCGCTGCAGTCATTCGGACAAGCTGTGGAAACACCTTCGGCTGCGGCCACCACTAATGTCACCTGGTGGGGCCTTAAGTCATCATTGTACACTGAAAGAAACCATCGACCAGTATCCAAGTACTGTAAAAGTGTCACGTTGACCAACATTAATACACTCCCATCTATTCCAGTCCCAGAAGACCTCTTGCCAACCTTGTGTTTCTGAACTTCCCCACTCCCCCTTTGTTGATTTCCTTCCTCTCCACCTCTGTGTCTTGTTTCTTTCGTTTTCCCTTTTACTGATTGTGACAGTTTATGATTACTCCCACGTGATGAGACTCCTTTGGTGTTATGCAAGTCATGGGGTTTCCTTAATTTCATGTATGTTGGAGAAGAAGACAGAATTCCTTCAGAAACACCCTCAGAATTATCCTCCTGACTCTGAGGACTTCGTTCCAGATGATTGTGATTCACAATGAATGGTGGTGGTGGAATAACATGGAGGGTTTCAGAACCAGGTATTATCCTATGATCACGCCAGTTTTGTGTAGTTGAAGTTGTAAAACTCACTGCAGATATTGACGAGACATGAGAAGGATGATAGTGTACCATATCATTGGCCGTGACCATAGCATCCAACGAGGTTCCATCTCCTGTAATATAGGATGTGCCGGAAAGAGATCGTTTGAGTCTATGATCAATTCGGCCTCCTTTGACAAACTCTACAAAATCATATTGGGTCACACTTGGCGCTACATTTCGACGACCATAAACAGCAAAATTGGCACCCCAGGGAAGCGTGAAATTTAGGCGTATGAATGCAGGTTCCTTGTTGCGAAACTCTGAGTTCCAGAACTGAAAAGGAGGGATTGTGGCTGAGTGTGGGATACCAAGTTCTCTCATCTCCAAAACGGCAGGCCACTGTTGTTGTTGCTGTTGGATCTGCTGTTGTGTCTGTTGTTGATCTGTTGCATCATGATGTCCAGCATTCACCCCTCCTGGCAACTTGTTGGATGCACTGTGTCCACTTGAATGCACTGCAGTGCTCGTTGGGAGTGATTCTGTCAACATAGAATGGTTTATGTGAAACTAATGGCAGAGGCAGATAAGCACAGATGTTGTTAGAGTGAAATTCAACTTAAATCTACGCATACAAATAAGTTCAGCTCAGTTCAGTTTATTGTAATATTTCATCAATCAAGAACAGGCTACAAATATCACCAGTCTGATACAGAACCAGTCACAGATATACAAGACATCAAATACTCAAAGAATATATGTGCTATGTGTGGTTTGAATATTAAAGCGTCAGTCATACAATTACAAATCAAAACAACTCAACATAATACATTGTGAATTGGAAAATAAATCAGTCACTAAATACTAATGTATATGATTTGTAGTCAATTAACTGGTTAATATAATATTCACTAAAATACATCACAAATTTCTTTGTTAAACTCAGAATCTATAGTGAGATGAGATCCACCATGATCGGTGCACAACTCATAACAGTGTGACACCGTTCTACAAATTAATATTCCTGTTAATATGAGAGACTGTTTTAGGTTAACTGACTTCTGGGCCACTCTGTATACTGACTGTTGCTAGCTGCACATTTTTTTACTTGGACCAGAGTCTTTGTTTTGTAGCCCTCTCTTCCATTCCCTGTAAGAGGGAATAACCAAATAAGTAACTGAGGCCAACCATGTAACCAACTAATTGCATGGAGAAGGGTCATTCTTGAGGTGTAAACATTTACTCAGGAAGTAAAAAAAGTTTCCGGTCCTACTGAGCTCAAAGGTTCATTATCGTCTTTAGAACAGCCTGCCTGTCAAGGGACCATATTCTGAGCCAGAAGAATCCGACTTCTCTCCCTCATACCCCCATTTCAATGCTGTCCCTTCATCTATATCTAAGTCTCACATTTTTATCTTCTGTCCAGATTTTCTGACTGAAAATTTGTACGCACCTCTGATTTCACCTTGTTAATATCAAAGGTTTATTACCATGTCCATAAGAGATTGGCCTTAACCTGAGCCAGATGCATCCAGTCATATTCTCATTATCCCATTTCTTGAAGACGTATTTTAATATTGTGAAATTTATAGCCATTGCTGCGCAACGACTCTGTAAACATATTCCTGCTGCAACGAATACATAGGCAACAATGGAATAACTTGCATTCCTATGCAACGGCGCTGTATATACAACAATAGAGGAAGCTCTGTTTTCTATGGATCTGCCTCGAGACTATATAAGCAGCACAGAACAGAATAAGAATGAGAACGGAGTGAGTCCGCTGTGGTCCAGGAAAAAGGGTTCAACTGAATCAATAAATCCAATCATCCAATCCAATCCCCGTTTATTAGCCATGCCCATAAAACGTGACAACATTGTCCTACCATCTACACCTAAGCCTCCCACATAATTTTTTTTTTCCCACCAGCATCTTCTGACTAAAGTTTTCTATGCATTTCTCATTACTCCCATTTATGCTACATAACTTGATCATCCAATCATCCCTGACTTCATCACTCGAATTATATTTGGTGAAGAACACACACAATGGACCTCATCATACAGAATACTTCGACTTTGTTTCTGTCTTTCTATCTTACATCTGTATGTCTACTTATCACCTGATTCTCGAACATATCAATTTGTGTTCCCCCCACAGGGAGTGAATTAAAGTTTCACACCCATAGGAACACCAGTAAAACTATATTACTGAATATTTTGTTGAATTCCAGTGTCATGTTTTAATACAAACTCTACACTAACAATACACATAAGCCACTATGACATATACTCGTACTTACCTTCAGTAGGGGACTGTGATGATGTGACGTCTCGAGGTTCCTCATCTTGAGCAACAGCCCTAGCGTCCTCAACAAGTATGCAACTCGTGCTGTCCAGTCCAGGACGTGTAGAACTCACAGCTGTCAAACACAACATGGAAACAACATTCAGTATTTCATTGCTAAGCACACTTTCTAAACGATTTAAGGGGTCGAATACTGAAAACACTGAATGAATAAGAGAGTACATAAGAGTTTCATTCTCAATTTTCTTAAATCTGGAACTCATAACAAAAATTTCGTTCAGTAATATGGCCTTGAAATTATTGTACAATAGATGACAATAAATGTTTTCCAGAAAATATAAGTAAAAACACACGTCTTCTGTGTCACAGTATATCATAATACAAATACAATGAAATATATGCAGGGCATAACAATTCTGGAACTTCAGCCTCTTGCACTTAACTACTTCAAAATTAAGACTAAAGGAAAAGTGCATTATAGTTAAAATTTATATTTTATTTTTCTCTGAAACTTCTGTTTGAAATGTTTCACTCCTCCGATGAATACTTGGCGAGTTGAGCTTGATATGCGCGTAGGAATTCACTCGGGTCTTCATGTAAAGTGTTCGTAATTTTTGACATATTTTAACCCCCCCCCAAAAAAAAATCGCAATAAAACTAAGCAATATGAAATTCACTAAAAATTCGCTGTGATACGTTACACGCGGCCAGGCGGATGTGAAGTTCATAGGTCCGTTTTTACAACCTCTGTTATGAATTAGTGAGAAAGCGGTTACAAAATGGGGGCAGCTGCTGAGTTGTGCAAGAAACTCATGAAGTTCCCCCTTACCCTTAATAATATGCCTCTGACTTTTGTAATTACAAGGGTAACTCTAAATAATAGTTCGGTTGGAAGGGAACCGCCGTTCAGGGAGGACCTGAGCTCGGAAATATCCACTGTTACAAGCCGTTACCAGGCAACTACTAGTGAAGACACTATGTGCTGGAAAAATTTAGCGTGTGCTCTAGTGAACTGCAAAGTGAAGAAGTCAGAGATGGCGCTATAATTAAGTGCAGTACTAATCGTCTGTTAGTGTGGTCAATAAATCCAACCCAAACCCCGACCGAGTCACTCTGACACATGACAATATTAATATGGATCTCAAAGAAATAAAATGGATGGGGACTGGATTTTTCTGGTTCCGGATAGAGACAAGTAGAGACGATAATAAATCTTCGGCTTCCATAAAGTTTTGGAAATTTATTGAGTAAATGAGCGACTGGCAGCTTCTCAAGAATGACTCAACTCCATGGAATTCACTGATAACAATCTCTTTAGTAGTGGCGATTGATGGTTTCGACAAGCGGAAATGCAACCTAAACTCTTGACAGCACAAAGAGGGTCGTGCTCTCTGTTCCTCGTGATAATTTATGCGTTAAGCACAGTCGGGCATTTATAGTCGAGCGGTGAATCTGCCCCCTACCCTGGTGTCCATGTTTCTATCAAGTGCAGGTACGACATGGCTAACACTTAAAAACCCCACCATGACTTTGCACACGCGCATGCGCGCGCACACTGTAGGTTCCTCGTGATTTAGATTCAGTTGTTCTGTGGATGAAAGAAATAAATGAGAGAAAAAAATTAAATACGAAGAAGACAATACAAGAATTTATAGCGGGCAGAAAAAGTACTGCAATCGCCTCGCCTCTTCGGCAACTTCTCTGCCACGTCTGCAAAGCGTGACAGTCTAAATGAAATTCCACAGGCGCTTCTATTCCGACATAACCTGAGTGAATAGTTTTAAAGTGCGGGCAAGTGATTCTCGAACTTTGCGACAGAGCAACACCTGAAATAACTTCCCCTGATGCAATGTTACAGCAGAGAACAGGGCACCAAACACATAACCAGCAACTTCTATGGCTGAAACAGCACGCCATACCGCGTTTTGCGAGCATAATGGCGGCTTCTGTAACGTGTGAAATTTCTCTGTGCACCACATTGCAGTTACCGGCTTGTTGGAGTAAGCAATAAAGTCAAAATAAGCCCCGTATGTAAAGCAGTTGTACCGATTTCCCCTAAAGTACAGCGCAAATTAATAAAAAAATATCTGAGTCGAGATTTTCAGTTCATCTATAAAATTTAAACTACACTACACACATCAAGAGAATACGTCACGGCAACAAGATCCGAAGTGTGACCACTCCATACAAGAAACCACATCCCTCAACAAGAAACCATATCCCTCAACAAGGAACTATATCCCTCAACAAGGAACTATATCCCTCAACAAGAAACCATATCCTCAACAAGAAACTATATCCCTCAACAAGAAACCATATCCTCAACAAGAAACTATATCCCTCAACAAGAAACTAGAACGCAAGACCAGTACACGATAGGAATATTCGTAATTTGTCTACACATATCCTCATATTAGATATGATTTTAATATTAAAATACTGAAAGGTAAGGTAAAAGTAGAGTAAAGCTATCCCTGTAACAGGCCGTGAAGGCCCATAGGGTTGTGAGACGTCGAGGCTCTCACATTTTCTAGATAATCGGCTCACAGATGGCGGAAAGGTTGTCAGCCTTAAGCTCCGGCCGCCCTTTACCACCCAGGAAGATTCCTGGTACTCATTTCTGTTAGAGGCTGAGTCTACCCCAGGGCCATAGTGCGGCTGGAAGGATTAAGTCAATTGAAAAGTCCACCTCACCGGAGCTCGAACCCGCGATCGCATAGCGCCTCAACCAACTACGCGACCGCGTAAAATAGTAACTTTATTAATCAATTTTAATTAAATTTTGAAAATTTTATAAAGAAACAACTTGCTCGCATATATCGTCATTTTATATATGATTTTGATGTTAAAATAATTTTAACTTTGACTCTGAAGATCTTGTACCAAGAAATAAAAAAAACAAAGGGAACCTTACAATATGGATCACACTGGTTATAAATGCAGTACTTAACACGAAATAACACCAAATTATGACCCATTAAGGGTCGAAACATGGTGTGTTATATATACACCTCAATGTAAATAGGTCATTTGTACATTTTCATAGATTATTGTGTTGACGGATAATATGACCTCGCAATTAATGAGTATAGAGGGCTCTTTCTCCTAGAGTAAAGCGGCCGGGGCGCGAAGCTGACCACTCACCTCAAACTAGTGCCGATATCCACTCCCCCATACGCCTTCATTGCGTAGTGTTTAATTAGTTAAGCACAGGGTCAACTTTACCTTGTTATTGTTTTTAAAGGATAATTTCACTACTGTAATATATTAAACAAACTGTTTAAAAGGAAATTATAGAAATAGTTTTAATAACAAAACAAACAACAAACTCCGTGGCTTTAGATCGCAAGCGAACTATACCTACCGAGCGACCGCCGCTTGTCGGCGAAGTTAGTGCCAACTTTAGCGGATAGAGGGTGTCGCGTGGTCAGCGCAACGGATCCCCACGGCCGTTAGTTTAGGTTCTCTAGACCGGAGCCGCTATTTCCTTGAAATAGCTCCTCAATTATCCCCACGAGGCTGAGTGGACCCCGTTCCAGACCCACAACTTCATAGAAAATCTGATAGAGCCGGGAATTGAACTCGGACCTCTGGATCTGTAGGAAGGAACCCAGACCACTGGACCACAGAGGTGATCATAATAAATTACAACTTGTTTTAATCTTGGACCACTGTGTTTGAGGTGATAACATCAGCCTCTGTAAGCATGCGATTTCCGTGAACTGTTTACCGTACAATTCTCCAGTCAAATACGTAAAGCTACATTACTCAAACAACGAGAACCGACTTGCATTCATGTCCGTTTCTTTGAATCTGGTGCTATAGTCTACAATTCTCTTGACACTTTTGTCTTCAGGACTACACCCTTCTATACCTACATATGCACACAGCCTACGCAGGGAGACTGAACCAACCACTGCATTTAAGTCGACCCATTAATCAATAACAACTGAGGGTGGTTTCTCTCCAAAACAAAATCAGAAAGCTAATGGACTGGACAGAGAATCAAATTACTGCAAGTGCTGTGCTTTGCACCTCTCAATACAGAACATGGCGCAAGTCTTCTGTGATGTCTGTTTATGTGTAACAAGCAACGCAGAGAGAAGAGATGATTAGGAGTTGGTTAGTGAGTGTTGTTTGTGTGTACAGCGGCCCGGGAACTCGGCAACTGTGATTAGTGGCATTTGTGGGGAGGGCTCCATTCTCTGGCAAACTCAGTCTGGTTGTGGCAACGCGCACACGAATTGGGGCTAGGGGTTCCTTCTCCATGCGCAATCTTGTTCTCCGCTTTTGACAGAGAAATTCTCCAACAAAACATACATCCATACCTCCTGTCTCTTTCTTTACTGCTCTGTTTAGCCTTTCATATGCTTTACAACCTTCTGTGTGTAACAAACATGTGGAAAACACAACACTACATCAGTGTTTCGGAATAGAAGCGTTTGTAACTATGCATAACAGCGGCCTCCGTAGTCTAGGGGTAACGTTCCCACCTCGTGACTGAAGGTACGCGGGTTCAAACCCGGCGGTCATGGAATTTTTAAGGGCGGAAAAATTCAGGGAACAAGTCCTCCGGGAGGGACTTTAAGCCTCTGGTACATGGGGGAAGCATCGAGATACCGCTGAGCCAGTAGAGGCCGAACTCGCTGGCTGAGTCGGGACTGATGGCACGCACCAGTACCGGTAGGGTATAGAGACTGGTAGAATATCACAGGGGGACGCACAATGGACCAATATCTGGTCTAAGTGCATGGGAAAACCCACCCTCTCCAATAACAACAACAACAACAACAACAACTATGCATAACAGGACTGTCCATGTTCAAACCACTGCTGGGCCCTATTGTACTGCACACCGAAGAGGCTGGTGTAATTATAACCCTCTAGAACTTTATTCTAACGGTATTTGATTCGAATCTTGGACAGGATGATGTCTATTCCCGCGGTTTTCTTTAGTTCTTCGAGGTAAACGCCAGGATAATATAGTCACGTATCCTGGTGACGCGACAAGTAACTAATGGGGTCAGGATTACATGAATCGATTTACTGGATATTCGTCAGGCGGAGCTACAGTTACCTGTAACACAATCTCACTGTAACTATAACACTTTGCAA